ATGGCTAAAAACATTGGTACTTAATTTTGATTGCAAGGAAACTTCTCCAGCACATCACATGTCACAGTTACAATACGACGTATGTGATATGAAGTACATGAAAATAGTCCTTTTTTGCAACTTTAACTGCAAACTTCTCAAAATTGTGACGGGATAGAACAATTCTACAACCAGATTCGGATTCAACGTCCAAAAAAACTATGGGAAATGATTACTCTTGTTTTGATGTTTTTTTTTTTTGTTAAATTGTATAATTATGCTGTCTGTAAATATATAACAGTTATACATATGTATATAGATATATTTTCTTTCTTTGTCGCATTAATATTAAATTATATGAGCATTCGGTCGTGGTGTGACTTGCTATCAACTATCAGCGAGTATTTAATTTCCATTATTATCAATTTTGTTATTGTATTCACTTATGTTTTGGCAGTTTCCATAGTCCAACAATTTGACGAACTTGAGATATTTTGATGTAATGAATTGTCTTCGACGATTTTGTACTGCTTATGAAACTGCATTTTATGGTTTCATTTTTAAATGCGATTTTAAGATTTAAGACATAATTAACGTTAAAAAGAATTTTACAATTATATATAAGAAAAAAGATATCGAGAGAAATAATATTAATAAGAAAGGTATTAATGACATTAATAAAATCTTTAAATCTGTGCAAAGATATTATTATAATAAAATCTGTAAATAAAGAATATTAATCTTTATACAGTACCTACTAGAGTTACTATTATGTAAATAAATTACTATTGTGTAAATAATTGTTATAATTTCCGTTACAAATAATATTAGCATCAGAATATTGAGATCAATCTAAGATGCCTTATGAACATTGATACAATTAAATTGCTTATCAATTTTTCAAGACTGAAAATAAATTCGGCGCACAGTTTGAGGGATTAGATATGTAGTATATAAATTTGCACAGAATTATTTCAGCACTAAAGAGCTTGACCATTTGGGAGTTTCATTTCTGATTCGTTGTGTAGTTACATTACGGTCTTGTAAGATACTTTATATTGTTCCGTTGTAAAATTATAAAGCAATTTCCCAATTATTACGGCTAATATAATAATAGTCAGTTCTACATCGTCATCTTTCCATTCATTTCATCATAATCTCATAGCATTATACGTGTGAGAGATATTGAGATGTCACACCATAACTTTTACTTGTGATTTCCGCTTTTATGATTGTCGCATGATTAATGGATATCTCAAGTTCGTCCAAGACAGTGAAGAAGGTAACGAAAAAAATCAAAGGGAAATCCCGCGCAAACGAGAGACAGAGTGGCGAGCTGGAGCATTGTGGTCGTGTCTAGTGTGGCTAATGTGGTTGTGTCTTGTCTGTTGTGTCGTCAGCAAGAGCACGCGGGCTTGAACCCTACCGAGTCCATGACACGCGCGTTGATTAGCGATGATAGTATCGCCCGCCAGTCCGCCCTTGGCCCTGTTCAACTGGGGTACGTACTCCCATTACTAGTTACTCCTTCCATCCTCGTCGTGCTAGGTCCCAGGAATCCGAAGAGTTGAACGAGTCAATTCCGGAAATCGCGGAATTGATAACCGAGTTTCCAAATAAAATAACACGCGATGATCCAGAAATTCGAGGAAGCAGACATTTGAATCTTGCACTTCTGAAGCACTTCTGAATCATGCACAAGGGGGAGGGTGCAAAAACACAAGATGAAATCCATTTTTACATTTCTTCTTTTCATCAGTAAATCATCTGTTTTTAATTCCTTTTCCGTGTATAATTAGCTACACTTTGGCAGATGTGTTTTTTCTATAAAAGCTTCTATATAGCTTTCCTTGAATTTTAATTATAGTTAAAAAAATGTCAGCCTTTTTTTGCAATTTTGATTGCTTGTAATACTTTTGATTCAATTATAATTCTTTAAAACCAAATGGTCAGGTCATAGTCCATTTATTTTTGAAGATTTAAAAAAGAATAAAAATCGATATACAGGGTGTCCTAAGTACGCTAAAAGATTTTAAGATGTGATTCCTCACACCAAATTCAAGATGATTTGCACAAAGAAAATCTTATCCGCAGGGTAAAGTGCATACTAATGAAAGATCTGTATTTTGAGAACATGTTTTAATTTATTAAATCGACCCTTTTCGGGACCATAAACATTTTCAAAACGTTGGAACAATGATCTTGTATCAAAATCATTCATGAGTTGTCTAATCTCCTTTTACTTTCAATCGTTTCTTCGACTATTGATAGAATATCGATTAGAAACGATTAATAACAAATACGTGTATTTAAAAAATTTTTTTAATTATTTAATAATAAAGTTTAGTATGATAAATTGCAAAACAGGAGTACACACATTACACCAACCGTACCAGCATTACAAAATTGAATATTTATATGAAAAATGTCCCCGTACAAAAATTTTGATGAGTGGCTATAATCACCTTTGGTATACAGCGAGATCCACACAATGGGTGACCATAGCCTCTGTTATTGTTAGTATTAAAAGGATTAAATTGATATTTTGATCATTTTCACAAATCTACCCTCCTCTTTAATGCAGATGTAACACAGACGTTATGTTTGAGAAGCTTGGCATTTTCATCTCCGAAATTCCTCATTTCTTTAGGAATTTCGAAATCGCTAGATTTTTTAAATTGTCCTCTGCAAATTCGAATTTATGCGACATTCGATCCCTGGAGATTTGGATTCTTGGAGTTTTTAACGCTTTGGATACTTGGTATCTTATTACCTCGATATTTTAGATTCTTAGAAGCCTAGATCTTTGAAACTATATTTCCAATATTTTGAATCCTTAGAGGTTTGAGATTCATGAAAATTTGAAACATTGGGTTAAAATCCTAGATTTGCATTTATATCGCATTGTTTAATACTAAATATAATCATGAGCTTTTTATTATACGAATATTATACGCAGTGTTATATGAGAAATGAATAATTATAACAGAAAATTAAAGAATTCCAGTATTCGAACCTTCAAGGATATAGAGACCCTAAGATTTAGAAAAATGCATTGAACAGTATTAAAAGAATATAAGGACTTAAAAAAAATTTTACCCATACATACATATAGTAAGAGATTTATTAGGTTGTTGTATATGTAATCTTTATTTTTTCTTAATCTGAGATAATTGCTGGAAAATTTATATATACGGAATGAGTCATTTAATGTTATTTGAGACTAATCGAAAAAATATGTATCGAAAAAATTTCAAGCAAAAGTACGGTTTGGAGAGTGACAAATAATGTTAATTATAATCATAAATAAAATCTAGTTTTCGAAAAAAAGATTTTTCCAGACACACATGAAAATTATCGCCATTTTTTAAAAATATGTAGAATTATATGATCTCTCTTTTATATAATGTGATTTTTTTAGTTATTCTTAATATAAAAATTTTTAAGTAGATCAAAAAAATCACAAGTAGTTTACAAATAGTAGTTTACATTTTTACTTATATTTTATACTTTATTCTGGCATATTTTAACATGAAATATACAATATCTCGAAAATTATTAATTTTTTTATAATCAATATACTTTTATTCCTAGAGTAATGAAAATAAATCAATTGATATAAAAAGAAAATAGTATTATTTTTCAAAAGAGGTACACAATTGTATACTATATATTACATAATTTTTTTGAAAAATAAATGTGTTTTTTCTTTCCAGACTGTACAACTTTTTTTGAAAAATTTTCATTTGATGCATATTTTTTAAGTTATTTTCAAACGATATGTTAAATAATTCACTTTGTTTATATAGTAGAAAATAAAAGAAGTTAGAATGCTAAAGAAAGCCTTCTCTCTTTCTCCTTTATATAACAACTTGATAAAAATATATTTACAAGCAAACCCCATGACATTTGATACAATTATCTGGCCTATATACCCGATTTATTCCTGTAACACACATTGTATGCTGTTTATTGGAGTTTGTCGTTCAAAGAGTGTTTCAAGGATTCCTAGGATAGTTGACAGAAGTGCTCTGAGGTATGTAGAAAGAAAGAAAAAGAGAGAGAGAAGAACCATGGCTACAGAAATCATCATTTCCCAAATTGGCTAGCAATACTACCGGAAAATCCACATCAAGCCGTTAACCGATACAGGTTGAAGGCTTCGCTATACCGCCTTCGTTAAAGATCATCATCACGACGCTTCGTTTTCCATCACCGCAAGAACAAATTGACCCCCGTAAATCGTGATCGTGGCGAGTTTTTTACGCAGTTTTTTTTTTGCGTTAACCTGTGTACATATCTGCCGATAGACGCCCTAATTATCTGATCTATTGTTATCGCTTATTAATGTGTCATTTTTTGTTTCGCCGCACGAGCAGCTTCGTCGCAGGAGTCATCCTGAGGGAACGCATCCCCGCATTCGAGCGCATGCTGTGGCGCGCGTGTCGTGGAAACGTCTTTTTGCGTCAGGCGGAAATTGAGACTCCTCTAGAGGATCCTTCAACGGTAAGTAATCGTACCGCTTCGCTTTCAATCGAAGAATTTAAAGCTAAGATTGTATCTAGATAAATCTTATGAGTTGTGAATTTCATTAATAATTATTGATGATAAAAACATAAATGACTTATTTCAACTTATGTTTTAATCAAAGAGTCCAGTACTAATTCAAAAATGATGGATTTAGGGAGACCAGGTGTACAAGTCAGTCTTCATCATTTTCTTCCAAGGTGATCAGTTAAAGACTCGTGTGAAGAAAATCTGCGAAGGCTTCAGGGCGACTTTGTATCCCTGTCCAGAAGCTCCAGCAGATCGCAGAGAAATGGCTATGGGCGTTATGACTCGTATCGAAGATTTGAACACTGTGAGAATATTATATTTTCTCATATTAATTTAATGAATTAATTTTTAATTAAGTAAACAACTTATTGTTTCCGAAATGAATTGATTCACCTCATACTTTTTTTTTTACTCTCAAACTTTTAATTCTTGGTAGTCAATCTCTTTTAAAACATACGTGAGATGAGGATTTGAATAAAATACAAGGTTTACCGAGTTGGAACCCATCTCTCTCACATGTCACCACTACATCAGTTCTATTATTAACATTATTAGATAGTATTTTCAATATTGATACACTAAAAGTTTGTCTTAAATTTGATCAAAAATTTGTTGAACATATATTAATGATCTTGGTTTCTAGGTCTTAGGACAGACGCAGGATCATCGTCATCGTGTTCTCGTAGCTGCTGCAAAGAACATCAAAAACTGGTTTATTAAAGTCCGCAAGATTAAGGCAATCTATCATACTTTGAATCTTTTTAATTTGGATGTTACTCAAAAATGTCTGATTGCCGAATGCTGGGTGCCTGTCTTGGACATCGAGACTATCCAACTAGCATTAAGACGTGGGACGGTAATTGATGAACATCATTTCATAACATTCCTTCGCTATTTCAACGATCTTTGTATCGCAAAATAAAAAATTAATGTTCTTTCTTTCATCTCTAGGAACGCAGCGGGAGTTCTGTTCCTCCTATTCTGAACCGCATGGAGACTTTTGAGGACCCACCAACGTACAATCGAACGAACAAGTTCACGAAAGGGTTCCAGGTGTTGATTGACGCTTATGGAGTTGCATCTTACCGCGAAATGAATCCTGCGCCCTACACCATTATTACATTCCCATTCCTATTCGCGATAATGTTCGGTGATACCGGCCACGGCCTCATTATGTTCCTGTTCGGTGGTTGGATGGTGCTGAAGGAGAAGCCATTGGCGGCTAAAAAGAGCGATAACGAAATCTGGAATATTTTCTTCGGTGGCCGTTATATCATCTTTCTCATGGGCATGTTTTCCATGTACACCGGTCTAATTTACAATGATATATTCTCCAAGTCTCTCAACATCTTTGGCTCTAATTGGTTGGTGAACTACGATCGCAGCACCATTCAGCACAATAAAGAGCTGCAACTGAATCCCAATTCGACGGATTATATCGATTATCCGTATCCGTTCGGTATGGATCCGGTGTGGCAGCTGGCGGAAAATAAAATCATCTTCCAAAACTCGTATAAGATGAAGATTTCCATCATCTTCGGCGTGCTGCACATGTTGTTCGGCGTGATGGTGGGATTGTGGAATCATATGTACTTTAAGAAGCGCATGAATATTACTTGCGAGTTTGTGCCACAGATAATCTTCCTTTGTGCGCTGTTTCTCTATATGGTGATCCTCATGTTTGTCAAATGGATCAAATATGGTCCGAAAAACGATCCGATCGATGGTCCCGGCTGCGCACCCTCGGTTCTCATTACTTTCATCAACATGGTTCTTTTCAAACCTTCCACCAAAGTCGGCAATTGCGATCCCTACATGTATGGCGGTCAGAGCGGCTTGCAAAAGTTTCTAGTGGTCGTAGCTCTGCTCTGCGTACCATGGATGCTGCTAGCAAAGCCGATCATGATGATGCGCAACCGTAGAAAGCAGCATTATCAGCTGAATAATCATGGTGCTGAGAATGGCGACGTGGAAGCTAGCATGGGAGCTCTCCAGCAGAGCGGAGGTGTTACTCAAAGTGGTGGCCACAAAGAGGAGGAAGAAGATATGACAGAAGTGTTCATCCATCAGGGCATTCACACTATTGAGTATGTTCTTGGGAGCGTGTCGCATACTGCATCCTACTTACGTCTTTGGGCCTTGTCTTTGGCCCATGCCCAGTTGTCTGAGGTGTTGTGGAACATGGTAATGAGAAACGGTCTGGCGAGGGAGGGTTGGGATGGTGGTATCGTCCTCTACGCTGTCTTCGCCTTTTGGGCGGTGCTCACCGTAGGCATTCTCGTACTTATGGAGGGTCTTTCGGCGTTTTTACATACACTTCGGTTACATTGGTAAGATCCTATTCACGAGAGATCTTTTATATTTTTTCCTGATTGATTTATGTGTTTATTAATAAACTGTTATGTGCACAAATATTATTAAATGATTTATTTGGTTTAATTAATAATTTTATTGAGTGATAAATTTATTATTGCCGTAAACTCATCAATAATGCTCATTGATGAAAATCTATATTATTTTTAATTCTCGTTTTCTGTATTCCAGGGTGGAGTTTCAGAGTAAATTCTATACTGGTTTGGGTTATAGCTTCCAACCGTTCTCCTTCGAGATCATCCTCGATGCTGCACAGGCCACTACCGAAGATTAAAAAAATCGTCGTTAATTAATGACTGACCTTGCTTATTATTAATACGAATGCGAGGGCGTTATGAATACAATAGCTGCTGATTTATACAAGTCAGTTATGAATAATTAACAAGCAAAGTAACCTTTACGAATATAAATGTGTACCCAGAGTATCGATTATAATAATCGATCGAAAGAACGGAAATTAATTCCTCTTTATCTCTTGTGTAGTCTTTTAACTATAAACTGAATTTTGATCGAACCACATGATTTGTAACGCACACAAGATCATGACAAGAAAATATTTTCATGATATTATGAATATCTTCCCTGTGGTCGAGAGATTAGATTATAATTAAATTCAATATCTAAAACCTTTCTCTCTAAATGAAGTATTGATTTATACCTTTCTCGTCCGTCTAATATTAGAAATCTCTTGTGATTTTAAAAATCTTTATGCGAGAATACAGAATTCTTTATGCACATCGTAGCGTCTGTAGATCTGAAAACAAATGTATGTCGCGTCGGCGACCGATTGATGTTATTCCATATATCTGTATGTAATAAAAAAATGTGGCATATTGAAAAGTGTTTAATGAAAACTCATTGACTGCACTTGTAAACCTGTACCTTTCTAATACACTGGACAAGACGGCTCGTATGCAATTCATCGAAATACTCCATAAGATTGCTAATCCTTTGCTTTTATGCTCCTTCTAAAAGTGAAATCCGATTATTTGATTCATCTAACAGTATAGTATTAACCAATTGTATTAAATTAAAATCGATATTAAAAATAAATTATGAAAAGCGACTCAAGAGAAATTAATTGTAATAACTCTATATTCGAAAATTTATGAAAGATAGGAAACAAAACGAACATTAAAGATTAAACAAAACTAATGTTGAACTAAATTATGACTAATCAAGAAACAAACTGTGATTAAATTTTTTGAGAATATTCAGGGAATTTTTATTATTCGAAGATTTATTTTAAAAATAGAAAGAAATTTCTAAAATTTCTCATGCAAAACGAATTTACGTCAACTAATTTTAAATCATTGGTTTAACGTGTTAAAACAAGATGTCAATTAAAAATAAATTATAATTTTTTAATAAAAATTCATAATAAAAATAAAAATAGTTTTGTAGCTACAAGATTAAATGAAATATAAGTAAAATGCCTATATAATCCTTCACAGTTATTAATGTGTTGTAAACAACGTATTTATAAAGCGATAAGATATAATTTGCAAACAATTGGAATATATTTAGACTAACGAAGTTACCTGTAGACTTTAATGCAAAATTTTGTATATGTATTCTGTATAATGCAAATTTGTAATATAATTAAAATTTTGTTTATAACGTGTATATAAATTATAATTATCATAAATATTCTAATGTAATAAGTATAAATTATAAATTTTTAAATAGTTTATTAAATTTTTATTGCAAAAGTCAACAAAATAAATAATAAAAAGAATGTAATTGAGAAAACGGAAGTTCCTGACTTTCAATTTTTAGATAATACTCGAGTTATATGATAACAATTCTACTTTGATAACATGAAATTATAATAAAACGTGCAATGATCTCAATCTTATTACCATTAACTTATCATCATTAATCTTATCACCATAATAATTCTAATTCAAATTATCTTTTGTCTCTTCCTCCAGTTCGGATTTCTTCCTCCATCTGGCTCGATGATATATTCTTATCAACCCGGACTTCGATTGGTGTGCAGCATGACGCACGCGTCGCTCGGTTTCGGTCGGTCTTCCCTTGCCGTCTCCGGATAGTCCCGATTCCTCGGCGGCCGCTCCATTCGCTCCAGTCGCTCATCGGCGTGCGGACGAAGTAGTGATTCTTGCGTCTCTACGGTCGCTCTCTACCTCGTTTCCTCATCTGTATCGAAGCGTGTTTTTCGAAATATCATGGCATCTGTATGCATCATCGGCTCCGGCAACTGGTGAGTCTGGGGAGGAAGGAGATAATATATGAATCTCGTTTAGCTGGACGTTCCAATCCGAGGAAGAATCGCATCGATAAGCGCGGTAATCGATTCGCACGTGCCCTTCGCACACATGCAAATGTTGGCGTACGCTTGTTGTTTACCACGCGCGTGCTCCGATTACACCGCTGCCGCGCGGAGGTGCCTTCGGAGTTGATGGAAAGAATGTCTCGGTCTCGTGTGCGAAGTTCATGTTAATTGCGCGTCGCACAACTAATATCCATTCCGATTATCAATCATGTGCCGAGCGGGAAAACTATCGTAAGGAGGCGTTGGAGCAGTCGCGTCTTTCTGACGCGTGTTTCGTAGATTATTCCGCTCGCACTAGTACTCAGGAAATTAATTAGAATTATCGGAAGAAAGCGAGACGTAACATTGCAAAAATAAAAACTGATAATTCAAGTAAAATAATTGATTTATAATTTTTTATACAAATTATTTAAATAGCGCATTTTCCACGACTTTTGTTGCAATGTTCTATTTTCTAAACATATATTTATGTATTATTTAAATGTACTATATTAGGGAAATTACTTTTGACAACTTTGAAAGAATTGGAATCTTTGGAATTAAATAATTAACTATCGAAGTTTAAGATGCTTTCGAAACTTCGGAGCTTCAAAAAATATAATATATTTGTGCGAATAGAAAAAAAAATGAAAATATATTCGTAATTTATAGTGGTAAATATATGTTCTTTTAAATAAAAATATTAAATTATAACTGTATAATTTTGATTTCTCGAAGCTTCGAAGATTGAAGTGTCTCAGTTTCGAAGATTTTAATGCCGATCGAGGCTTCGAATTTCAGAAGTTGAAATGTCGAAATCTTCGAAGCGAATCACAAGTTTTACACTATATATTATTTAAATATTATTAAAAATATACTATTTAAATATATTATATAGGGTATTCTATTTTTGACAGAACAGTGATATATCTCAAAAACCAATGGTTGGAATCGAAAAATGTTTCATATAAAAGTTGTATGGTTTGGAGGGGGACATTAGATGGTGCCATTGGTTTGACCTTGGGGAGTCGTTTGGAGATTACGTAAAGGTCATCAATTTATCAAATGGAATCCCATATATTTTGTTGCATATTCTTATAGCTTTATCTTGAAAGCTTTCCAAAACACTATAATAAAATACTTTTTCATTAAATACTTTTCGAGTTATAAGGATTAAAATTTTTCATTTTGAATTTTGAAATTTTTACTTCAAATTAATATTCAGTGACCTCAAAAACATTAAAGTATGCGTTATCAGTTCAATTGCTGCACTGCAAAAGTGATTTATTGAAATCACGGCGTTATGAAATATGCGGATTTTTCCATCATGAAGCACTTTTGGCCAGTTTTATTTTGGCGGATTTTTCCGTCGTTGACATTCAAGAGGTTAATGAAAAAATATTTTGTCATAGTGTTTTAAGGAGCTCTCAAGATAAACTACAAGAAGATGCAATGAAAAATGGGGGTTTCTGTTTTAAAAAACGATGTAACCTTGATCTGACCTTGGCGACGTTACCCAAAGTCGAACCAATGACACCATCTTATGTCCCTCTTAAAATTCTACAAGTTTTATCTGAAACATTTTTCAATCTTGAGATATATCACTATTCCGTCTCAAATGAGATACCCCAAGAGATACCCTGTATAACAGAGCTTGGATTTAGTTGCACATTTCGGCCGATTTTCAGCTTGGTTCCTGTCTCTTCACCAACCAGCGCGCAGCCTAGATGCCGATCGATTAAATTTCTCTCTGGAGAAAATATTTCAAAACAGTCTAAAATAAGATTCTTATTGTTAATATTGAAAGCCTCAAAAGTATTGTACTATATAAATAGATTTACTATAAATAGATATACTAAATATACTATGTAGCTGTATATAAAATAAATTATTGGTAGTTTTAATATAAATCAGGCAAAATAGAGATTACCCAGGTAGAACATGGAGTCATAATTAAGTCATAATAATATCACAGAACGTCGTTTGATACGTAAAAATTGACTTATAAGTGACGAATAAGATTATATGATGATGTCCTTATAATATTATTATGACTTCTATGTTCTACTTAGGTATAAGTCTCTAAGTCAAAGATCAACTAATATGTAAAGAACGTTAATTTTGCTTATCTCACACATAACTAATCGATGCTAATTGCAATTATGTATTCGTAGGGGTTCGGCTATCGCCAAAATAGTTGGCGCGAATGCGAAAAAACAGAGCAGCTTCGCCGATCGTGTTACCATGTACGTTTATGAGGAAATTATCGATGGTAAGAAGCTGACCGAAATTATCAACCAGACCCACGAGAACGTCAAGTATCTTCCAGGACATAAGCTCCCCGAGAATGTGGTAAGACACTTTTAACACGTTGCTTGCTCGTTTTGTATTCCATTGTATAAGATCATTTATATAATATTAGTCGTAATCTGTTAACTTATGCCGTAATCTATGTAGGTAAGAATTGACTAATTACAGTCAAATGAGAAGAGATTAATCGATTATAATTGGTCAATTCTTATGAATTACGGGTACTACATAAATTAACAGATTACGGCCAGTATATAAAATTTTCATTATTGGATTTTAGCAGAATGGCTCACTTATAATTTCATGATAATATTTTATGCTCTAGGTCTTTGTTTTTAGTAAAGCACTGTTTGATCACAGACTTCTATTACTACACTAGACTGCTAACTCCCTACTTTTCCTTATGTAAAAGTATTGCCTGCATACAGTGAATGTGCAGAATAAGACCGTTACGTACAGAAAAGAAATGTCAAAGGATCAGGTGATCTAGCGTTTCTGCGCTTGGTTCAAAAGTATATAGAAAGCATGTGCAGTATGCAAATGTACTTATTTCGCGCATGTAATACATACGTTTTGGCAACAGTGGCCTAGTTTCCACCGAGGGTTCGAACCGAGTCAGAATGTAAAAACCAACCAATTATAGTCGAGCATTCCCCTTTAATTCGACTGTAACACGGAAATGCTCGACTATAATTGGTTGGTTTTTACATTCTGACTCGGTTCGAACCCTCGGTGGAAACTAGGCCAGTTAAAGGAATGTACGAGTTAGCAGTATTATAATAGAAGTTTGTGGTTTCTAATTTAAAGAGTTCTGTTTGACTGTTTGATAAACCGCTGTGTATACAGGGTGTCTGTTAAGTTTTGACAAAGCACCGTGTCCGGTAATCATTATCATATACCCACAATACGTTGCGCGTTTCTAATAATACATTGTCAGTCCTGAACTTTAACCATCGCGTACTTTGACTATGATGAAAGTTGCTACATAATTTATTGTCTTCACAAGTCCGCGTGTATCGCATCTTTCATTATTACAATCTTGAACATATACAGGGTATATCAATAAAATTAATTGATACACAAACATTTTGTTAAATTTTATTTATACTCATTAAAAATTTCAGACTTTCCTCTTTTCAGCGCAATTTTTGTTTTTTCAATAACTGAATACTTTCGAAAATGACTGATTAGTTTCAACACCTTCCTGTGGGACACCCTATATATACACCTCCTTTCTGTCATTTATCAAGAACACATTTTGTACTTTGTTTTCTTAATGTATTTCTATTCTGTCACCTATCATTTTCCTTTTTTGAAATCGATACTTTTAATTTCTTTTGATAAACACTGGAATGATTCAATTTCCTAATCTGAATAGTCGTTAACTTCAACGATTGATATCTCAGTCTACGGGGCAGAGCCACCCTGTAAAAATAGGTAAATTTCAAGCTGGAATAACTTCATGAAAAATCATTGTATCGAGATGCGATGGCGAACTCAAATTTCAATTTAGGGATTTTTTTGTATAATTTTTTTCTTGTATCAGGATTTAGTCATTTTAACGTTGATTCATTCTAGATTGCAATTCCGGACGTAATGGAAGCTGCGAAGGACGCAGATATACTTATATTCGTAGTTCCTCATCAGTTCATCCAAAGGATATGCAGTACCCTGCAAGGAAAGATCAAACCCACCGCTGTCGGTCTGTCGTTGATCAAGGTACACTATAATCTTCTGTGTACCATTTTTGTGAATATCGCGTGTAGTTTTTTTATCCGTTGATCTACAACAATCGTACACATTCTTTGTAGGGCTTTGACAAGAAAGAGGGTGGCGGTATCGAACTTATATCTCACATTATTTCGAAACAATTGCAAATCCCAATCTCAGTCCTGATGGGCGCTAACTTGGCCTCCGAAGTGGCTGACGAGATGTTCTGCGAGACCACTATTGGTGAGAAGAATTAAAATTCCAATCTTATAATTATATTATCAGTTTCTTACTCTTAATCATTTATAAATTTTAACGGTCACGAGAATTTCCATAAGATCGGCCATCTTTAATAGTATCTCATCAATGTCTTTGTTTAACTGGGATGAAATTATTCCAAAAGCGTTGCGAACGTCAAATAAAACGCTGTCTGTAAAACACGTTATAAAGCTAGGGAAAGTTTTATGTAAATCGCTCAATACCTGTTTCTAGGTGCGCGGATTTAAAGCAGTTCGCTAACAAAATAAGTTTTGCAATTTAGATTAATTGAAATTTACAGGCTGCAAGGACAAAGTGATGGCACCGATATTTCGCAACTTGATCCAGACGTCGTATTTTAGGGTGGTACTCGTTGAGGATGTGGATTCAGTGGAATGTTGCGGAGCATTGAAGGTAATAATTAATGACTATTTCTACCAATTTAACTGTATTTATATTAAATTTAATTTTAAATAATCTTTTATTCTTTTTTGTTCATTTTTAATAAGATTACGATAATACAATAATATGTTCGTATTGATATTTTATAGAATATAGTTGCGTGCGGTGCTGGTTTCGTCGATGGACTAGGTCTGGGTGATAATACGAAAGCTGCGGTAATTAGGTTGGGTCTTATGGAGATGATCAAGTTTGTCGACGTATTTTTTCCGGGCGGGAAATTGGCAACCTTCTTTGAGAGTTGTGGAGTGGCCGATCTGATCACGACGTGTTATGGTGGACGCAATAGAAAGGTCTCAGAAGCCTTCGTCAAGACTGGCAAGGTCAGTAATGCAGGCTGTGTCGGATTGAACATGCTCCGTCTTAGTCAGTTTTGCATTTCAGCTAACTTTTTCTGACGGAATTTTTAGATTATTAAAAAAAAGATTTTTTTCGATATCTGTTAGAGAAGTTTTTAAGAATAATATAATATGTCAACAACTTGATATAACATGTTTATAATTATAACTTATAATTATTTTATAAAAAATTATGTTGTATTATATAATAACGCAATGAATGTGATTTGCAGTCGATTGAGACACTTGAGAAAGAGATGCTGAACGGACAAAAACTGCAGGGCCCTTTTACAGCCGAAGAGGTCAGTTATATGCTGAAATTAAAGAACATGGAAGGTAGATTCCCGTTGTTTACGGCCATTCATCGGATTTGCATTGGTGAGCTAAAACCGACGGATTTAGTCGACTGCATACGCAGCCATCCAGAACACATGTAAGCTCAATTGTTATAGCGTTTTAAATGTGGTTCACAATGTAAATATAGAAACAATTAGTTCGTCAGATCTATGGATCCTTTATTGTCGATAATTTAATTAATCTGACCTAAAAATTGCCCAAAATCCTCATTAATAGATCGAAAACATCAAAATCATGAATTGATTAGAACTTTAATTCTTTTTAAAATTCCAAAACGGATCATTCCGAATTCTGTAAAGTGAAACTTACTGATAAGATAAATTAATAGAGATTAAATAATGCAATACGGAGACCATGCATTGGATCAAATTTAATTACGCTATAATTACAAAATTTTATAAATTAGAAATTTTACATTACTCGAAGTTTTAATGATTTCAAAGTTTCATGGATTTGTAATTCCAAGAATTTTACATATACAGGATTCTATGTCTTATAAAATCAGGATACTAAATTTCAAATACATACGCAAATATAAAGTTATATGAAGTTAACATTTTTTTTGGATTTATAGTTTTGAAGAGATTCAATAATTTGACTTAATATTTCAATTTAATAAAATTTGATAAGCACAAATCGCTGAACTTTATATTTTGCGATTTGCACGATCTGTGTATCGGTTTTTCTTATGGATCCATGAGCTCCAAAATAGGTTTAAAAAGCTCGAATAATTTAGTCAATAAAATCCCTCATCGCATTGAACGTAATGGATAAATAAATTGTTACATTTTACACAATGTGAATATATGTACATATTTATTTTATCGCACAGAGATTTTATTCAATGTTTTAATCGAATGTGTCTATAGATTTCCAATCATTAATTGTTGTATGCGTTACCAACGAACGAATTTCGTTATGTAAATTGAAAGAGAAAACAAATATAACTAATTATTTGTTAATAAAAAGTAAGACTTAGCTCTTCTGTATTCCCCGTTTTCCTGGATTATTAAAAATATCTTCTTTCATTAATACGTGATCAAACTTGAAATTCTATTTAATCTTTTCTTAATAAAATTACATGTAATGTATTATTAACACATTTGGATGAACTTAGAAATGACTTTAGTGCGCGTATCGAGATAATTAAAAAAAAATAAAATATGTATACATAAAGATAGACACATATGTATATGTTTTTTTGTGATATTTTATATGTATATGTGAATATGTATACACTCTACGCCAAAAAATTAAAGAATTATCTATTCTGCCCTTCAAAAATAGGCAATTTTCAAGAAAGAGTAACTTCGTAAAAAATAATCATAATGAGATGATTCGAAAAGAAATTTAAAGCTTGTTTAGATCTCTACTTTTCAGATTTAGATCGATATTTTAAATAACAATCTGACTGATTTCTTTACAGAGATACCCAAATAGAGATCCATCAAAATTTTTTGCGAATGAATCTTTTGTAATTTGTGTATTTATTGAGAGTTGTGCGATTTTTTTATTGAGTCATTCAATATTGTGGAGCGTCTTTTAGATTTTAGTTGCTGACAGAAGGAATAGCTCTCTGTATCCGTTAAAATGAGTGAGCCAGCATAGGTTGTTGATAGGTTGGTGTGTAAGAATACCATATATTTAAAATAAAATATAATGCAGACGTTTATTTCGACCCTTATTATTGGGTCAGCTTCAATGTAGATTTGAAAAATTCAATCGTGCAATTAGAACATGTAACAGTCGCTTAATATTTCGTCAATAATTAAAATATGAAAGTTGTCTGTTCGTATTTAACTGAATACTCAAACAATTAAATTATCTGCAATATATAATACATAAAAAATATAATAAAAAACTTAAAATACTAATAAAAAAAATCATTGAAGTTGAAAATGATTGATTGTTACTTATAAATCCAACCAATTA